TTATTTAATTTATAATTTAATTAATAATTTATTGTACATACAGGCCATTGATTTAGACGCGGAAGAAAATGGAATTGTTTCTTATTATCAAATTGGGAAAATGCATATGACATTAACCGAAGGTTTGGACAATATTCAAATCCAACCTTTTCTTGTTCACAAAAATTCTGGGGCGGTTAGTCTGAACTTTGATCCTCAAAGAGGGATGAAGGGTTACTTCGATTTTACGGTATAAATATTTCAACAAATTTTTAAACATTGATTAAATTTAAGAAACACAATAGTATATATTCTTTTTTAGGTTTTGGCTAACGATTCGCATGGATTAATGGACACAGCGAAAGTATTTATTTATTTATTACGAGAAGATCAAAGAGTTCGATTTGTTCTTCGTCAGCATCCACCTGAAATCCGTAACAGAATCGAAATATTCCGACAGTAATTATTTTTTATCATAATTTTGAAATAAATTATTATTTAAAAAAAAAAATAAATAACAATTAATATTTTATTTATAGAACATTGGGTAACGTAACTGGTGCGATTGTCAACGTAGACGAGTACAAAATTCACGAGAATCAAGATGGTTCGGTTGATCGAACCAAAACGGATTTATATTTACATCTCGTAAATCGTCATGATAATTCGATTCTCGAGGTGTCTGAAGTATTGGAATTGGTCGATCGAAATATTGAAAAATTAGATAATCTTTTCAAAGAATTCAATGTACTGGATACACAACCAGCACAATCACAGCCAATTGTTCAATACGAGCAAGCTGGCACGACGTTTTGGCTTTTAACATTGACTCTGTTTCTCGGAGCTCTTCTTATTTTATGCATAGCTTTGTGTCTTTCTCAGAGAGCATCGTTTCAAAGACAACTCAAAGCAGCTAATGCATCAACATTTGGTATGAGTTATCAATAAGTTGTATTTATAATTATAATTTCTCCTTAAATTAGATTACACGTTATTCTTGTCAAAATTTTAATTTATGAATAATATGTTTTAAAGGCACGTCAGATTCTGAATTCATTCGTGGTCCAGGACGTGTTCCTAACACGAACAAACACAGCATGGAGGGTTCTAATCCAATTTGGATGCATGCATACGAAAATGAATGGTTTAAAAGCGACGAGTCTTACAGTCATACATCCGAAAGAGATTCCTTGGATGAAAATGCTCTTAATAATGAAGAGATGATGAATGAAGTTAATATTGAACAAAGAAACGAAGATAAACCTTATTACATCGAGCCAAGAATATCTTCGGTTTCTAGGTAAAATATTTTTTCATTTTTCCATAATTATTCTTACGTGAGTTACGTAATAAATTAAACGATTCACTAGACTCATTAAATTTTTCTTTTGTTAGCTCGGAAACTGTAACAGAAGCCACGACTGAATTTAACAGGAAATCACCCCCTTTGTTTCGAGGGTCGATGACTACCGTTAACCCTCTCGGAAAAAAGATTGAGACGACAGAACTTTAAGCGGTTTTAAGTTAATTCATATCGATTGAATGAAGAAGAATTTATAGAAACTATGGAACATCTATCGATATCAGTTGCCTACGTACAAATGAAATAAAGCAAACCACTGCTGGCATAGTTATATTATACTTTTTATGTAAATACCAAAGTACATTAGAATAACTGATAGATAGGCATAGAGATTATTTATTTATCTAAGTTAACAACGTATACTCGAAATATATAGCATTTATTTATTTGCTAAAATAATTTATTTAATGTCATATTATATTCGTCTATAATATCAATTTACTCAAGATATCATTTAATATGAATTCATTCGCATATAAATAAAAGATATAAATTTGATTTGATATCGTTTGAAATTATGCGAAATTAGAATTTTTAATTTAAATCGAACGATTGAAACAATTAATTATTCGTACAGAAAAAAAAAATAGTCCAGTATACGAAAGATAAAAATTTTTGTACTTTAAATATCTTTGTAATTTGAATAACGACGAATAAAAGAAAGTACAAGTAAACAATAATTCTCTCTTTCTCATTTATTATCGCAAAGAATGATCTCCTGACACATTTTGAATTTATTATCACAATACACAAAGAATAGCCAAAAATTCACGACGCTCGAATATTATCAGATGGTGAAAAGGTTTCGGACAAAGGAAGAATCCATTATTTAAATGCAAATCGAGCTTACGTTCGTACGTAGGAACGTACCGCTGACCTCGATGGGTCAGTCACACTCCGGAGACCCTTTCACCCTTACGTAGTTTTCAGCTTGTTGGCTAATGCGAGACTTTCCCACTTAACATCTAACCCTTACCTTTCTCTTGCACGCTATCTTACAATTAACTCCAATCAAGACAGAATTTTAATTTCACACCGTTAGAAAAGCTAGAGATGAGAGTAACTCTTCCCCTTCCCTTTCCCCTTCCTCTTCCCCTTCTCCTTCCCCTTTCCCCAAAACAAGTGCTCTGTCGCTTTTAATTACTTATTATATTCATATTGATTGTATCGAATTTCTTAAAGATTTCAAATTATACAATCACGTGTTCCAATAATTGACAAGAATTTTGAAATCATCGGGTATTTTAATTTTTAACAAAATGAATTCGTACTATTACTCTAAAATAATATCATTTTTCCTGGACGGATATTTAGTAGCCAAAAAGAAGAAAAAGTAATAACTTTACATTCGTTTCTTAGTACATACATCGTAATCCTGCCTAGTCATCCTTTCAATTTCTCGAGTCAATAATGGCTTGAATGACAACTGAAAATAAAAAGAAATTTCGTGAATGACTTCAGGCGAACGTGGTCACAGTGGTCGAACCTGGGCGGCTTACTTGAAAGTCGAGGTAGTCCAGGTAACGGCCAGCTATTCTCTTATCGTTTTCCTGAACGTCAGCTTCGCGTGCAATCTTATGCTAATCCAAGCAAGTATATAAGCTACTATTGGTCAGTACTTGACTTCATCCCCTCGAGTATCCCCTCCCATTGGAACCTTCCTAGACCGACCGAACCTACCAACATAGTAGCCTCGTGTCGGCTAACCCTCGCTCTTCAGTGCCGTATCTATTTCGATCGTTGTTATCATCGAAACGAAATTTAACGCTTGCAAATTTTTTTCAAAATTATCTTGATTTTATTCTTTTAACATTAGCGCACGCTCGTTATCTCAAACATCTTTCGAATACTTTTTTTTCCTTAAAAAACCCATTTTATCTGATTAATTATTCTTTTTTAACGATTCTTTATCAAGAATAAAATATTTTCTTTTTTACATCTTATTTTATTCTAACATATTTTAATCATTTGTTTTCCTATTTTTAATTTAAAATAAAACGCATTTAATTTCGAGATGACAAGAACTTGTATACGCTTACTTTGATAAAACTCATAAAGATGACCATAATTCAAAATGACCTATGTCTGCCATTTATAGTTATGATCTACCCCCCACATTGGTTTATAAGTACACGTACCCATTTACAAAACCCGTTATTATTTCTACGTAGATGCAGTTCATTCACCCAGGGTGATACCATAAAAGGAGCCGATACTGCTTACAGTCATATGACACTTGCAACGATGCATTTGTTTTACGCGTGATTTGCATGCGCCAGTCTTTTGCGTATCGTTCACTCGACACGCAATAGCAGATCACTTTGGCGTCCTCATTCCATCGGATGCTAAACTGACTAAATGTTTTTCTTTTCTGTTAGAAGTTCTATAAAATAATTTATTAAATCCATCGGAAAAGATTTTTTTTTTACATCAAAAATGAAGATTGGTTGTCAAAAGGTTTTATTTTATATATTATACTTGTATTATAACTTTATGAATAAAATTTAAACATTTGTAAGATTTCTATAAATTAAAAAATACAAAGCGTTTTTAACATGTTCAAAGTATTGCGAATCATTTCGTTAATCTAACAATTGTTATAAAAACTACGAATTATTTTTCAATTTATTAGTACTACTTAATAGACGAATTAAATTCGATTCTCTCCCCACAAAAAAAGAGGCAGACTCTTTAACGACTTCTTTGCAAACAAATCACATCGCCCTCCATTAACGAACCCTCCTGATTGGGGCCCTGACTTATCGAGCTCTGACTCATGGTACCAGAGCAATAGGTTGTGTGTGGTCGCTTTTCTTATAATAGTTAGGATAGATAGAATATTTGCAGAGGAATATTAATTGCTATTTTAACAAAAATTCTTACACGTTATTATATACCCACGAGCATAATTAACACGTATAAGATATGCGATATAATTATAATTATAATACGATACATAACATTTTATACTATTTTAACAAATTTGTTTCTTGTTCTAAGCAAATTTTATTTAAAAAAAGACATTCGAGATATATTATACATAAATAAATAATTATTAATTTTCAACATTTGCTAAAAGAGAAATGATAGAAACTCATGAAAAGAAAAAAATCGTAAGAAGAAAGAACATAAAAGCGCGAATAAATGAAATGTAGGTCAATTCCGATTCGCATAGAAAGCATACTTGAATACCTTCACAATAGGGTTACCATAAAATCTCCTATCGGAGATCGGTCATCATCCAACAAAAGGGTGGTTGCACCCTCGAGTGGCTTACCGAGTTTCTTTTGGTGGGGAGGAATTGTTCCCGACGCGATGTACACGTGACGACGGTCGTCGTGTCGGCGTCGGCGTCGAAGGGGTTAAACGACAAGACTGGCTACCCCTATGAAAGCTTTCCACATGCACACCGTTAGCGGCCACGTGAGGTGTGTTTCTTGCACGATCCTCGAAAATGTCGACCCTCGATCACGGTTGAACAAAACTTACGCGCCAAAAGGATCCTTCCAAAAAACGTCGAGTGGCCAATAAGTAAATTCATTCCTTTCCGCGATGAATGAATTTTATTTTTAAGTGAATTTACTGAAATGAGTTTACTATTTTAGAAAATAAGTGAAATATAGAAAAGGTATATAGAAAAGAAAAAAGTGGATGAGTTGTTTAATACGTGGAACATGTAAAAACATGTATTGTTCGTGGACTCTGACATCCTGAATGATATTATTATCAGGTAAAGAATTTCTTTCTTTTTTTTCTATAAATTATTACTATAAAAATCTTTTAGACAATTCGCAAGATTTAAAATTTGTCAAATAAATTTTATTCACGCGTGCAAATGATTTAGTTGCATTGTATTTGTAATTATATTCGATTGGATTTAAAAAATTACGAATTTTTAATTGATGACTCAGAAAATCTTTTACGATATTTATTGACTAAAATATTTGCCAATATTCTTAATGTTATTTCGACGATTAGAATCATGCTTCATGGTACATCGACTGGCCGATACGAGGTTACATCCATCATCAGCGAAGATATTTGATCGCCCCACATTTTACAACGCGACGGCTGTTGACTTTTTAATAATTGCATTCAACGCTATCAAATCTTGACTCTTTTAGTATTTATTTAAAAAGAAGACGTTCACTTTCATTTTTAAACAATAAAATTGATCGATGATGCTTTCTGAATTAAATTTTAATGCGTATTTTTTTTATTATATTTTGATCGTTTAAGCAATTGGAAGAAACTCATTGAAGAATCGAACAAAATTAATTTCTTATCTGATAAATCTTTGTTCAACAAGTTTAGAGGAATGTTATAGTCATGTTTAAAGACATTTACAAACCAGTCACGTTCTCACGTTGATTAATAATACATAGTCATTCTAGTTGTAGAAGATCCAACTAAAACGTACATTATATGTATAACTAATGAATATTTATGTATCGACTCACAAACCGCCATGTATAATAGTATGTAAACCGTAGTCGGTGCGTAATAAAAATAGAGAAAAAAAGGAAACTAGCATCGATCGGAGTCTACTGGACACTGACCGGTAAAAGTCCATTGAAGTATTTTATTATACACGTTATTTTACCAAAACTTCCGGGTAAAATTCAGTAATTTTAATGATATAAAAAAGAAATAATTAAATGTCAATATAAAAGTTTAACCCCTTAAGGAACAATTTTTGCTCAACGTGATACAACGCTGCTCGAGTTAACTCGAGCGTGCAACTTAAGGGGTTAAATCAAAATGACTCTTTAATTTTTTAATTTAACGATTCTATCCTGATTTCTATTTATTTTTTTTTAATTAAATCAAATAGTTTTAATTAGTTAACAAATTAAAAATAAAAATCAAATTATCTACCCCTTACGTTATCTTAAATGTAAAATACATACACTTTAATATATAAATTGCCATAGAAAATAAAAATTACATAGCCTAAATTTTCTACAAAATATTTTATAAGATTAAAACGCTGTATATGTCCTATAATGCCCACTAAAGCGTAACTTGATTATAGTGTTCGATAGGAACGGCCGATGACCCACATCCCAATTTTTTTTCCTTAATGATTTCATATACGCACACCATATTAAATCCACATATATAAGAGACCAAAAAATAACTACTTTATCATGATTCAATAAAAATACTGTATAGTCCTACGTGTAAATCACACAAGATGTGATATACATAGTGTACAGTTTGCTTTAAGAACAGGTGTTTAAGTGACAAGCAATTCTAACGAATAACGTGTAAAGCAAACCGTAAATCGTTGCTTAAATTTATTATAAAACGATTATCATTATCATCGTCGATTATTGTGGCAAGTAATAATAATCTATTTATAAAGTATTTCTTTCGGTACAATGAAAAGAAAAAAAAAAGTAATTGTAATAAAAAGTAAAGTAACGATGGTGAATGAAAAACATTAGGTACTGACAATATCGTAGAGATGTATGTAACGATTAGATACGACCTCATTTTACGTTGACAAAATCGATAATCATATTGTTATCAACAAGAATCATTTGTTCTATATGTATAAATCATTTTTTTTTAAATATATCAAAACATATATGTTTATTTCTTTATATCGATGAAGTTTCAAAAATAATTAGATACTATTAAAGTATAATAAAATTTCTTTACGAAGTTATTGTTTCTCTATTTTCATCTATACCATCGGCATTTTATTAGCGAGTATCAATTATAGATATTGCGTAAAAGCAGTCATTTGTTCGATCGTTCAACGATCGATATATTTCGTCGAATGTGTGTGTGGGTGTTCTCAGAAATTGGAAACTACGATGAGTCGTAAAAAATGTATTCTGTATTTTCATGAGGAATTCATTGAACTAGTATTCAATATTTTAATCATAAAAATTAGTCATGGCAAGAAATATAAAAATACTATTTTTTCTTTTTTTTTAAGAACAGACTTAGAGAAAATTTCGAAGAACTTTAACTTACAATTAAAAGAACTATTAGCAAATTAAAGGTATAAAGAAAACTAAAAACCATCAAGGCTTGCCCTATCACGCATCCAAGTAACAAGTGAAGACCACTAACTCATGTAAATAATTAGTGTATTCGATAAAGTGGAATAACGACTATCGGACGGCCAAAAGACTATGCGAATGTTTCTCGAGTCTTCTAATATTTAAAGAACAAACAGGAAGTTCAACGTAACGGGTTATCGATTTTTTACTTTGAACCCACTTGTCATCAATTACTAAAGAACTTAGAACATAATATACGTTTACGAATGATTATTTCTATTTATTATAATAATTAAATATTCAAGAATTTTTTCACAAATTAATAATTACTTTTTGTTTATATCGATGCAATTTTAATTATTTTATTTTACGAAATATATATTTGTATAATTTTTTTTTGTAGAATGCCCCTTGCAGGAGCATGGTTTAAAATATGGATTTATTTGGGTTTGATCTTTGGATGGACAATTGGTGCACGACCAAGATTCGATACTTCTACAGATATGGGGTTGGTTTTGATACCAGCAGACGCGGAAGTTGATTCAGTTATATTTCGATTACGAGCTACCGATCAGGATGCAGATTTTCCTCTTATTTTTGAAATAACAGGTAATTATTAACTTACATTTGTCGTAATTGTATAGCAAGATTTTAATCGAATTATCCAAAGAACTAATGAAACTCAAACGATTCTACTCCAAATGTAACCTTTTTTTCTTGTATATTTTTCTTATACCCAGTTAAAAAAACTACTGAAAGTAAAGAAAAAAATGTTACTCACTAAGTCACCGCTTTTGTATTTACCATTGCAGCAACAATTACACCGGTTGTGAGAATCGACAATCTGCCATGTACGCTCTATAATAAAGTGTGCCAGGCTAATGTAATTCTAACGAAACGTCTAATACCTGGCCGTCTTCATGATTTCGCTGTGAGGGTTAAAGACTCCAAGGGTGATTCGAATTCAATGCAAGCAACCATTTCTGTCACGAATGCGACCACTCAACGCGATAAAATATTCCCGCACATTCCTTCTCTGATAATGGTACCCGAGGTAAAACTTAATTGCATTTGCAAACATCGATGGCTTTACATCGAAGTTTAATTGTGTACTTTTCATTATTGCGATCCCTTTATCAATTAATTTTTCTTCGATATTTCTTCGTATTTTCTTTGTAATTACATTGATTAAAAAATTGTAAGTTCATTAGTGATTGATTGACAGTTAATTAATGTCAATTATGAATTTTTAAGGACACTAAACCTGGAAAGGAATTAGATTATTTATTAGTTCGAGCAAATCCTTGGAGTGGTAAGCCAGTATACATCGAATTATGGGTAAGTTTGGTCAACATTATTACTTTGTGTAAATAGCAGCAATAAAAGATGAACATCTTTTTTTTCTTAACACTTTTTAGCAACCAAAAGAATTGTTTACGATCAGACAACGACAAACACCATCGCAAACTCGAGGAGTTATTACGTTAATCGGGGAATTGGATTTCGAAACTCAATCCATGTATACTCTCACAATGTACGCGACGGTGGGTTTACTCATCCTCTTATCTTCGATAGAATTATTTTCAATCTAAGCGATTTCATTGTTTAGGATCCTTACACAGAACCTGGAAAGGATACAAGAAATATTGCTGGTCTAAACGTTGTTATTGTAGTCCAAGATGTTCAGGACGTTCCTCCGATTTTTACTTTGGCACCTCCTTTAACGAGACTCAACAATTCTGTACAACCTGTAAGCATTTCAATTATACTATTTCTCTCTGTGTAATACTTTAATTTTATTTAAATTAAATAAGTAGTATAAAATTATTTAATTAGTATAAACTTCATTAATATGCAAATTAATTTCCATTTTTTATTATATAAAAAAACGGATATAAATCAATTAAAAAAATGATTTGTTTAGTTCGGTCACTCACCTTTCGTGAGTGAATTGTTTTTATTATCAATATGTAAGAAAAAATATTTCTATCTTTATTTAGGGGGATGTAATATTACGAGTTCATGCAGAAGATGGAGATAAGGGAGTTCCTCGAGAAATCGCATACGGTCTCGTGTCAGAGGGCAATCCCTTCACACCGTTTTTTAATATCTCAGAAACGACAGGTGAGTAAACATAAAGACGAGCTTCTTATTTTAAAATAAAAAATCCTTTTAAAAGTATGCAAATAAGAACATACAAGAAAATTCATATATTTTCTGTTAACTTAATCGCTGTAATTCTGCATGGAATGACCTAAAATTACCTTCATTATGATTTGTATTATTTCTATTTTCTATTTTCTACTTGCTATTTGTACAACTTATTTTGACTTCGTGAAAGAAGAAATCGAGATCTCTTCTTGAGATAGTACGTTTTTACTAAGATTGCCATGAGTAAAGATTGATTTGAAAGATAAAGATCCCTCTAACACGAATTCAAATGGTTTTCTTGTTTTTTTGAAGCATCTCATAAAATGACTATTACGTTGGATACAAATTTACGGGTGTAAGAAGTCATTCGGAAGATCGATATTTGTAAAAGGGAAATCTATTTAACGTCTTGGTCACCATTGTTTGGAAAAACCGAATGACGTCTTTAATTTATGTCCAGCACACATTACTGACCCCGTTTCAGCGAAAACCTTTCGACAATGACTAAAGACGGAAATTAATTCTCCATGAGATCAATGATTTCAATCTATTTTTATTTTTCTTTCTTTTATTTATTTTTTTTTTTTTTTAATTTTATTTCTTCACTATCCTCCGTTGTTATCTCTCCGACAATGATTCATCGCTTTTCATGCATCAGACGGAATCGGAAAGAGAAAGGAAAATTACGCGCGTAATTTCTCGGTGATAGATAAAACGGATCGATGTTCGTCGACGTCTAGAGCATATTTGAGTTTAAGGTATGAAAACGAAATATGTTCTCTTATATCGAAGTCTTAAATAAAATAATACTTTTTTTTCGTACAATAACAAAAAGTGAAGAAAAATAATGTTTAGAGTTAAATATTTAAGCAGAGAATAATCGCGTCAAATAAAACGTAAATAAATTAACGAATAAAGTAGAGTAAATGAGTACATTAAATCAAGTTAAGTGTGTGTGTACTATATAACTACGAAGTACCGTAATATACTACGACCGTTACTACTATGAATGAATTATCGTCGATATTACGAATTAGTTCTCGAGATTTGTAATTTGCGTGCCCTTTTACTTTCTCTTATCATTTTTCAAAAGAAAAGAATATCAAATGCGTCCCAAAGGCTAATTTCTTATCCGAGGTCATCAAGATATTTGAATTTTTCGTCGAATGAGTCATACTCGAGGTAAGAAGGCAAACGAAAAGAAATGACCACGACTCTGGCCAGTTTTACAAGCGAAAGTATCGATCGTACGAAGGGTCACTCTCTGCTTTTCTGACTATGATGCTTATCTTTTCTTGGCAAGGAGCATGCGATATAATACATGTATTTGTATTTCTTATATACATACACGTATATGCATACACACATTGAACGTTAACAATTTCTTGAACCTATTCTGCCTGTTCTTACAATTGCCGTTGTCGTTATTTTATATTTAAAGCCACGCGTTTCTGTTTTCCACCCTTTTTACGTGTTTTACTTTGAGTAAAACAGAAATAAGGGACACGCATTAAAACGAGAATTATTCTTAGTGCGTTACAAATTTCACGTTGAGAGAAAATAAATTACAAAGCTGGAAATTGCATATTAATCACGCGAATAATACAATTTCTACAAAATTATATTTTTAATAAAAAAAATATTAGAATATTAATAGCAATTGTAATTATTAAACATAATGGTAAATGTGAAAATGGAATGAGTACAAACATTTATTTTATTAGTTATTTGTAATTAATATTACTTACATGATAATTCAAAATATTTTAATTCTTTTAACTTATTCCACTTTCATAATTATTGACATAAATATGTATAAAATATTAAACAGATAGTTATTACACTATTATTATTGGTTTCAACTTTTGAAACTTTAAAACAGGTAATATGAATCCTATAGTCATCACTTACAGGAAGAAGTTTTATACTTTCCAACTATAGTCGTTCCGTTTTATACAACGAATGGAAGCTATGATTATGCCAAAATAAACCTGTTCAAAGAACGAAAAATCAGACCATATATGATCTCAAGTATCGATTATCTTGATATTAGCTATTAATGTTTAGAAAAAGAATAAGAAAATAAGGGAACTCGTTTCATTAATGATGGACTTCCTCTTTTAGGAGAAATCGTTTTAGCTAGACCGTTGGAGGAACTAACACAAATCACTCACGTCGGTGCACCTGTCGTGCTCAGCGTCGTCGCGGAAGAAATTAGAAGGACCAGAGAGGAACCACCTGCACAGGCAACAGTCGTTGAAGTTGGACTTTTGCTTGGGGAACCAGGAAATAGTCCTCCCTATTTCGAAAGTGACACGTTAGTTTTACAAAAATATTAAAAATATTATGCGAACGATTTATGTTGCTTATAATTATTTACCTTTCATCTAAGAGAATAAATTTTAAAATGTTTTTTCAAAACTGTTATATTAAGTTGATCCAAAAATAATTTTATTTATATTTTTGTATGCTAATATTATAAATATATTCGCAGTTACGTTACGGTGATAGACGAAAATTTAGAACCGGGAAGTATAATTACTTTTGGCGATCAATATTCGACGAGAGTACGGGATGAAGATATCGGTAAAGCTGGTGTATTCGCTCTCAAGTTGGAAAATAATAATGGCACTTTTGAGATTAATCCTACCGTTGCTGAACGTACTGCGAGTTTCACTATTACGGTTCGAGATAATACATTTATCGATTATGAAACATACAAGAGCTTGATCTTCAAGGTAAATCTATTTTTAATGTTAGCTATTTATAAAAAAATAATGAAGACATTATTTAAAATAAATTGTATTCTAGATTGTAGCTCAAGAAGTTGGTCCAGCAACAAATTTATCTACATCCGTACCAGTAACGATTTATTTAAGAGATGTCAATGATAATCCACCGATTTTTGAACAGGATTCTTACGAAGTGACACTTTCGGAAAATGTAACAGCCGGTACACGTGTCGTGCAGGTAATAAATTGATTGCAGATAAAAATGAGAAAAAATACGACTTAAATAAAAGTAGAATTTTGTTTTTTGAAAAGGTACACGCTACAGATAAAGATACAGGAGATTTCGGTAACATACAATACACTCGGATAATCGGACAAGGAAGTGAAGCGTTCACAATGGATCCAGATAGAGGATTGATAACAGTAGCGATGGGATCTTCTTTGGATCGTGAGATTGCACCTAGATTGGAATTATCCATCGAAGCACGAGATGAAAATGGTCAAGGCAATCGTGGTGTTGTTCCTTTAATAGTAAATTTACTCGATGTGAATGATAACGTACCGATATTCGAAAAAAGTATTTACATATTCTTCTTGAATTCTGATTTGACCAATTTCACATCACCAGCTATGATCAAGGTACTTAAATATTTATATCATTTAATTTTATTTATTTGTATAAATTTGTACGTTATAATAATTAAAAAATTGTGTTTATATTATACAGGCTACAGACGCGGATGCTGAACCACCGAATAACGTGATAAGATACGAAATAATTCATGGAAACTACGAGAATAAATTTCATCTAAATGAAATTACAGGTGAACTGATTTTACGATCACCACTCACAAGAGTTCGAAGAAAGAAACAAAGTGCTACCGAGAAATTAGCTAGCAAATCACAGAAAGAGTTACATCGAGATGATACGAAAGAATCAATATTAAAAACGATAACCACGACGGCGACTAATCTTAAAATGTCAAAATTATTCAAGAGGAGTCTTTTTAAAAATGAATTGTTAAAGCGTATTCGAAAAAAACGAGCTGATGATGATAATGCTCTGTACACGTTAACAGCTAGAGCATACGATCTTGGTAATTTTTAAATGTACATGAATATTTTCATAAGTACCTATAATAAAATAAGAAATTTTTTTTTTTCTATAAATATGTTAAATTGTATTTTTAATAATTGTCATAGGTGTACCACATTTGTCGAGTTTAACACAAATAAGAATAACCAGTGGTAGGGCAGCAGAGGATCGTATTGTAACGTTCGTTTTACCAGAAGAAAATCCAGATCCAATAAAAACTGCGAAAACATTGGCTACGATAACAGGAGCAAGAGTAACTGTTCAAGAGATTCGTCCTTACGTTGGAATCAACCTCACATCTGATATGCCAAGTGATGCTAAAAAGTTAGCTCTTAATAACTATTTTCAATATTTTTAAACAAACATGATACTTGATCAACATCGTCTTTGATGAATAATTTTAGAAGTATCGTCGTTGCACGTGTGGAAAAAAGTACTTCCTTTGTGGACATAGAAAAAATTCGAGAAACTTTAGCGGCTAATGGAGTTGGGATAATAAATGCTTCAGTTATGATGCCTGATTCTACTGGAAAAACTACCACCACTAATATCACCAATACTGTTACCAACGTGCAAAACGAAGAAGTTATAGTGAGTATACCTAAAATTATGTTTAGTATAATATTTATTTTATTTGGATTTAAATTATTATTATATTATAATCGATTATATATTTTAAATTTTCCAAATTTTTAATATTTCATATTTTCTAGAAATAAAAAGACAGGATTATGTTTCAGACGGTGTACAAAGCAGAGAATAAAATACTTTTCTGGCTGCTGATAATTCTAGGTTTATTGATGCTCCTTGCAATAGCTGCGTTGATTATTTGTTGCATTTGTCCTAGCTGTCCATTTTACATGGCACCTAGAAAACGTCGAGTCCAATCATCGGAAACTTTAATCGTCCGATCGGACGGAAGGCCAAAGAGACATCTTCATCGGAAGCAACCTACGATCGTTCATGGTAACTAAATCGGAAGACATCAATCTGTACGAGTTCGTGAACTTTTCTAACAAGTTCACTTTAATTTATCTATTAAAACCAGAAATTATGAAATACGAAATATCTGTTTTATAATGATCTAGTGTGTTTGAATAATTATACTGCCACATATATAAATACATAAATAATATGCTAACACTTTAGAAATATATGACTGTTTGTTTAAAAATATTTGACAAGTGTGTGATCAATTGAATTATATTTATCGTATTTATATCAAATTTGTAATATCACGAACAATGTGTGTATAACATAACTTTCGATCGATCGAAATAGACATATTAAACTCATTCAGAAAAAGATCATTTTATATAATATCAAACCACACACTATACTTTTAAAATAAAATACAAAATATAGAGATAAGAAAGGAAACTTATACCTAAGATTATATGTTTCTAGTAACCAATAACCAGGAAAGGAAACAAGCATGGAGTGCTGATCCAACCCGAAGCAACTGGCAATTCAATAGGCGGAACGTGAAAAATTGTGGCTTGGCTTCGCTACCAGGTGACGTAGCTTATGTTTCCACGCATGCAAACGAAGGAAGAATGAACGAGGAGTCCTCGAGAAAGCAACGAGATGATTTGATTTATGATACTTCTGGAAGAATCACTGGGCAAGAACGAATGTATGTAGAAGATATTGAGAGTATGAAAATGAGAGATTATCATATGGACAATGATGTAGAATCTATGAAACGACATGAAATCGAACGTAGTCCTGATCATCCTCGACAGAGTTATAGATATGAACAAGAGCAAGATATGGACGACGAGAGAACAGTCAGAGAGCAACATTTTTATCGTGAAGGTAACGCGGAAATTTTGCGATTGGTAACAAGAGGACAGGTCGAGGATAACGTGATTCAACATCGTGGTACAACAGTAATCGTAGATGGCAAAGATATTATCTTAAAAAGATTTATGGAAGATCAAAAAATGAGACAAGAAGCATCGATTCAAGATCTCGATGGTACACGAAGTATAGAATCAACACAAAGAGTCAGAGAAACTACTCACCAGCAACCAGAGATTATTCTGATACCGCAATCCCTAAACATCGCTCATAACCAGCAGCACGTGGATGAAAGTGGTCCAGGTGTTCAGAGATTACTTATCGATCGTATTGATTACGATGATACCCCTAAAGAGAAAGTTACTCATATCTCTGACATACAAGCTAACAGAGAAGAATCTACAATTGTTGGTGAAGCTTCTGAAAGCACCGAGAGACCAACGATTCCAACCAAAGATAACGCACAACCCGTTAATGTTCAATCTTACTCGTACCATGACATGGAATTGGCACGGCAAAACGCTTTGCTGACAAGACTTTTATTGGAACGAGAAACTCGTGTAAGTGGGCCAGCCATGATGGATTCTACAAGCTATTTGGAGACTCAAAGTTTACCTGGACAGGTAGCTATTGCAACTCAAACCGATAGGACTACTGCAACTCAAACAGACAGACACGTTCGAAGTAGAAGTGACAATGATGAATCTGAAGACGAGTCGAGGATAAGGAAAAAAATGAAAACTAAAAAGAGATACGAGAGTGATTCGAAAAGGACCAGAACTTTGTGGATGAAGTCACCGATAGAAGAAGAAAGAAGTCCATGTTTTGATAAACGTTTGAGTATTCTTCGAAAGAAAGTAAAGGAGGTCAAAGATGGAAGGAAGATTTCTATAGAACCTGAAGTTCTCCGTGAAATATCTGACTCTTTGGACGACAACGGAAGTTCTGGCAAAGGAGATGATAAAGAAACGAAAACGTACGAACGATCAACAGAAGAAACCAGTATCAGATATGAAATATTAAACGAGGCGGACAATGATAGTCCTTCATCTACCGAAATCACCAAAGATAAATTCGACAATGTTTTCAGTGAAAAAACTCATTATCGTGGACACGATGATCGAGAAACTAAAATGATCGATTCAACTTGTTCTTCTACCGAACCCAAAGAAACGAGGGAAAAACATTCGGAAAAAGAAGCAACTAGTCCGAAGAAGGAAACAAAAAAGAGTCAAAAAAAAAGTGAAAGTAAACCTACTTTTCGAATATTGGAAAGGGAAATTACATTGTTGACGAAAAAACTCAGTAAACTAGGTGAAAAGAAGACTCAAGAAAGTACAGGAAGTGGAAGTACGATTCAAGAAAAAACTACTACCAGTAGTACGAAAAAAAGTTCGAAGAAGGACGTAGATCAGAAGATGTCTAAAAGGAAAGAAGATTCGAGTAAGAATCGAACAAAGATCTCTACAGAACCGACTCCTAGCACTTCGAAAATTGTAGAAAAAGGAACTAATCAAAAAAAGGAAGGAACTGTAACTAAACTCAAACACAAGTTAAAGTATCAGCAAGCTCAAGTTACGAGCACTGGAAGCTCCGAAATAGAAGACACTCATGAAAAGTCGAGAAAAGAGAGTTCAGAATCGAGTAAAGAAAATGTTAAAGATAAGCAACTACCAACAACTACGTTTCATTCTAAAATCAAAAGACAATCTCACGTTGAGGAAGAAAAAGAAAATGTCATATCTAAGGATCAAGATAGCGAGAAACAAAAGGAATTTTCGAAAGAACGTTCGAAGTTTGGAAAATTAGATAAATCGATAAGCCGTTTGCAAAAAGAAAGTTTATCGGAAGAGTTCAGCGCAAGTACTGGTTCGGATCAAATCGAAAGTAAAAAGGAGTTTGGTCCTCGTCGAAATTTCGATAAAAGAATGAGTACAAGCTCTTCTGATAATGTTTCCAGACAACCGGGTCAAAGAAAGTCGAGAAAAATGCGAGTACATCAAACTACAAAAGTTTCTGATATTTCGTTAAAGGGTACCCCAGAAAAGGAGGATACCGACAAACACAAAACGAGTTCGGATGATAAAAATGTTAAAAAAAAATCGAAATTAATTAAAATGCATGCTGATGGGAAGAAGAAAATGACTGTAGTTAAAAGTGATTTAGAAAGTACAGAAAATGATGATCGTATGATATCATTGAAAGACGCTTTGAAAGATTTTGTGGGTTTTAGACGTAGCAAACAAGACACGAGCGAGGAACAAACGTTTACCGATAATTTCGTGGAAATATCGAAGGAAACATCCTTACAGGAAAAAGATAAAATCGAAGAAAATGTTAAGAGTAAAGTAGAAGAAAAAATATCTGAAGATTCAATAAAACATGATACTGTAGATCTTGAAGATAAAGATAAAGAGAAAATAAAACAATCTGAAAATGGTAAAAACCAAAATATCGAAATTATAGATTTTCAAGATACAGATAAAGAGGAAATAAAACAATCTCAAAATAAAGACCAAGAGATCGAAATCACTGACGTCCCTTCCAAGGATATTGAAGAAGATACAATAAATAATGTAAAAGAAAATAGAAAAACTTTGGAATCATGTGAAGTTGATAATAAAAATTACGTCGATAAAAAGAAAACCGTAGAGAAATTTGTCGAAGAATTACAAAAAGAGATCTATATGTCTCGTATATCAGATAAAGAAAAAACCGAGATTACAAGTACTACGAGTGTGTCCCCGATCGATAAGATCTTATCGGAAACTACAATAATTCCGAGTACGTCTACGAATATAATCCATGAAAAAATATCTTTTCCAGATAACGTTGATAAAATTGATTCCAAGGTTGGAACAGAAGTAACAAAAGAAAAAGATGAAATAACTAAGGAGAAAGATACCAAAGAATCTTTCGAAACTGAAAGAAAGGATGATTCGTCTGTTAAAGATAGTAAACTAATTTCTATATCCATAGATACCGAAAAAGATACAAAATCACTCGATCAATCTGCAAAGGAAGATAACGAGGCTACTAAACAATTAATTGAAATTACTGACAAGGACTTACAAGTTACGAAAGACAATGGTAAAGTTAAAGAAATTGAAGATAAAGCAAGTTTATCTGAATCTGTGCAGGATAAAGATGAAAAGAAGGACGAGGAAAAAGATATTTTAACGATATCAAAAGAACCAAGTTCTTTTATGGCCACAACAAAAATGATAAAAACGGCTTTAGAAATTACGAGTAAACACAGTTCACCGCAAGAAAGTGACAAGGATGAAAAGTTTGAATTAAAGGAGACGACTATCGAAAAAAGTGAAAAAGATCATGCACGTATAGACTCTCCTGAAGTTGATAAAATTATAAAAAGTAATGATAAAAGAGATTCAATTATTGTAAGTGCAGAAGTGCATGCTGGACAAATTGTTGAACAAACTCCAGATAAAAACCAGGATACTGACGAAAGTAAAGAAACATTAAGTTCTGTACAAGATAAAGATAAGGTTGATATATCTGTCTCTAAGAAAGATACAAAAAATATTATTGAAGAACTTACAGTTAAAATATCGCCAGTAAAAGATGTTTCTGAGTATCATGAGATGAAAGATACAGAATTTACTCCTTACGAAGATAAACCCATGGAAGTTATTGAACAGAGTATTGTAAATGAAGAAAAAGATAGTACTGAAAAATCTCAAGTAAAAACAGAAGAAACGACATTACAACAGGAGGAAGAAAAAGGAGTTTATAAAAGCGATGAAATTGAAATCAAAAAAGATGAAAGTGATGAAGAGAAGCAAAAATTAGAGAGGACTTTGATTGAATTAGATCCAAAAGAACAAGAGAGTAAACCCACAGAAAAAGAAACCGACAAAGAAGATGTTCATTCAGAAATTTTAAAAGATAAAATAACAGATTTGACATCTCCAAAAGATTTTGAAACTCATGAAAAGGAAGAACTAGAAAAAATCCAAATCATTAGTTTACCTTCGACTGAACCCGAAGTTTCAACTTTAGCAGACGTGAAAGATCGATTAACCAGCGAAGAAGAAAGCATAGAAATAAAAACGATTGAGGAATTAAAGAATTCTACTGTTGAAAAGATTTCGAGTAATTCGATTAGAGTAGAAAAACCATCGAAACCACCATCGCCGATTCAAACACAAGAACCATCGGTCGTCCATGAGGAATCCGAAATAAAAACTGAAACGATGAAAATCGATCAAGACGAAAAAGAAAGTGGGTCACCTGAGGTTACCAAAACTATGAAAGAATTAAAATTCGACGAGAAAACTCAATTACGAACAGACGATAAGGATTTTACCGAGAAGGAAACCTTAATCTTATTGGAGGACAAAGGTAATCAAGGTAGTATAATTAAATTAGAGAAGGAAGAGGATCAAGAAGACAAAGAAGATTCGAGTAAACAAGATAAGTTTGTTGAAAGGCCAGATCAGAGGAGTATGCAACCAGGAGAGGAGTTTACAAAAAAAGGACTTCAAACAAGGACGGAGGAATACGAAAACGTAAGCCCAACCATTTTTACGAGCATTATCGATACTCTGGAAGATTCTGATGAGAGTGATTCATCCAGTGATATTTCTAGGAAAACAACACTGACCACGAGACCCTACCAAACGCCTCGGCACCGCGCTAAGGATGTTCCTGAAAAAGAAAGCCTTTCAAAGGAAATGACCGAAAGTATATCTGCTGTTGATGACATGAAATTGACGGTCCAAGAGGTAAAAGATGAAAGTGGGGAACAACGAGTGGTCGATGTAACCATGGATGGTATAAAAAATCTCCCTAGTGTTCTGCACGAGACAACGGAACTAAAGAAAAGTTTAATTGATAAAGATATCGTTGAAGCAGATAAAAAATCGATAGGAACAGTTTTTATAGAAAAAAGTTCGACCCCGATAGAAGAAACTTCAAGTGTAGGTACTAAAAGTCAAGAAAAGATATCTAGTCTTAAAAAACCAGAGGATATGAAAGATCTCAAGGATACAAAAACAACGAAGATAAAAGATGATTCGAAAACTGAAAAACAAGATAAATTTGACGAGAGTAAAGACAAACTAGTTAAAAAACCAGATAAAGATACGAAAGGAAGGAAACAGTTTCTAGAACGCTCGAGAGTTGCTGCTCGTAAGGACAATAAAAATTCTTTAGAGGAAATAACTGATACTAAAAAAGATTATTCGTTGGATAAAACCTCTCAACAATCTAAACGTCGTTCTCCCAAATCGATCGAAAATCAATCGGAGAAAAAATTAGAAACCGAAAAAATAAAGGCTACGTCAAAAAAGACAGAAGATCGTGAGAAACGATCGAAATCGACAAAATCGTCAAGCAGTGGTGAAAAATCTTCGAGTCCTCCAAAAACAGGTGACACCGACACTGGTAAGACTAGATCGAAATACATGGCTTGGTACACCCAGAAAAGAGAAGAAATGGAAAAGAAAAGAGAAGCTAAAAGAGCCGAAGAACAGGACGAACAGGATCAATTACCGCGTTGGTTGAAAAGGAGTTTGGCTCATCGAAGATCAATTCCGGATGAGAAAAAAAAATTGGATATTAAGACACCGGAAGTAACACCGAGAACAAGACGTAAAATAAAGCCTTTGGTGAACGTGGAGTCTGAACAATTGAAAGCTATTGTTCGTCAAGGACGAAAATTAAGGAAAGCTGAAGGTGGTCAATACGAAGATCCTCCGATTCAAATTTTTGCATCGACTCCACCTACGCCAGCACCAACCGAATCGAAATATCCTCGTCATCATCTCTTTCAACATTCCGAGTATAAATACGAAAAAATCCCACCACCATTTTACCTTCATCCTCCACCACCACCTCACCCCTCGCCACAATTATCACCGGAACATTACGATCCTCAACGAACGACGGAGTTTGTCAGACCAGAATTGGAACTTGATTCTGGTGCTGGTATATCGATGACAACAGGAACGAGATTGAGACATCAACAACTTCTTGAGAAGAAGAGCGTTTTTGATATCGCTTATAGTGAAGCTGCACCATCCCAATTACGAGCTGACAGTACAACGCCGCCTTCTTAATTGATATATCAGCTTGAATGTTATAAAATCTGAACAATATGTTGTCATATTAAAAACGTGCAATAAAATATACATGAGATATCGTGATTTAAATGAGACTAACTGTGAGATAATAAAATATGTAAAAGAAGTAAAGGAACGAATGTGTGAAATAGATACGAAGAATATTTTCAATTTTTAATTTAAATATTTCAATAATGTTAAGTCATTTGGTCGAAGTTATAGAATTAGAAAAAAAACTTTATTAAAGATCGTAGCCTCCAACATAAAGGACCAAACATTTGTGAATATAGTATTTCATCTAATATTTCAATATTCTCTCTGTGGCTATTTTTAAATAAAAATTTAATAAATATTTCTATCGTATCGAGCAAGGTGCATCTTCTGTTATCACTACTGCCGTTGAATAATGATACGAATTCATTAATTTTTAAGCACATCGAATCGATGAACGAATTTTTTATTACGACTGTTGGCTCATTGTAACGGTGTTTGTATTAATCTTGTAAATACATGTGTATAAAAACTCAAACAAATAGTGTCAACGTTAATCGTCAATCACCTTTTTATTTAATATACATTACAAATTCATTTTATTCATTAGTATATATATATTAATTATGGGTATTTTGGAAGAAAAAGGAAATTAGTATATTAGAAGCAAAACATCCTAATCTACAAATTGATTAACATCTACAAATGATCTCTCTTAAATCTAAGATGGCTGAGTTTGCTAGCTAGGTTTTTCTTCTTACTTATTTATTTATAATATCGAAGCATCGATAAATAGAAATAAATCACGATTAGATAAACTAATTACGAGACAATGCACGTAAGAAATTTATTACATGCTTTTTTGGCACGGAATCGAGTAAATTATTACTTGATTTCATCACTACTAAAGCGAGCAAAACAAGAAGTATAAATGAAAGTGCATTAACTAATTATATTGTTAATTAAATGAATTTAACCCATGAAACAAGAAGACCTATCTAAAACTAATAAAATATACAATAGAATAAACAGTTTCCATGAATTATTCCAAAAAAAGAATAATTCATGTGCTTGTTAATAATTTATTTAAATAATTACAATTAGTAGCTCGTGTCGATTAGGAAATTTTATCTTCGACATGATTGAGCACTGGAGGGACTTTAAATTTTAACTCACGATTTAAGAAATCCTGCGATGGCTCCAAAACACTCCTACTTAGCAGTAAGTATTGTAGTCTGACGATGGAAGACGTACTTGATTTGCCATTGAAGAAGATCCATCGAAGATCCATCAAAGATCCATCGAAGAATTCATCCAATATCATTGAAAGGAAGAAAATCCATGGTTATATCTGTAAAATAAAATAGAACAAAACGATAAGTTATCTATAATATTATCCAAAAACATATAAAATAAAATCGAATAAAATGTAAATAAAAATGAATACTTACAATGCATTCCAATGGGACGAAGCTCAATGGCATCACGGTGATGCACACCTCGCGTGAATCTAATAACGAGGTATAAACGAAAATAATAAGAAACTATAGATGAGTTTCTTCGAAACCGAAATTTTATTATAAGACGAAAAACACTAACTCTAATTCGCGTTTGATTTTAACTTATTACTCACCTGATCACTAATTCTACAACTAATTGAAACACTCTTTTGATCGCCATTCGATGATATACCACCATAACCACTGCTATGGTTACCACATATGCGCCATTCGGTCTAAGACACAGACCTGTGGTAATGATGTGTTTATGGTGATACATATATTACTTCGCGCACGATTGCAATCTGAAACAGAAATAAAAAACAATACTATTAATATCATTACTATTAGAGAAAAGTATTAAAATTTTTGAGGAATTATTTAATATAAAAATATACTCACTTTGATGAATGCACGATGAATGCACGATGGGTCTCCTACCCTTAGGATGACGATGTATAAAATAAAATTACATAAAAAGTCTGAAAAGATGAAACATAATAAAGATTATATTACAATATTTCCTGTAAATTATTTCTGAAGGCAGGGCACACATTAAAATATTTACCATTGAATATATTGAGTTGTAGGGGATATTAAAAATACTCTTTTTATAACACAATTTTCTTTTTATTTTATATGATAAGGTGGAAGCACGTCTTTACTCAATCAGGGGTAGACAAAGAATAAACGAATAACGAATAAACCAAAAGAAAAATATTTCGTCGCCAAGCACTTCGGATACAGCTGCTCCTTGGTAGGGATAAAGAAAACAAAGATTAAGAAGGACCGCCCATTGATAGAATAAAACACTCTGTGTCCTACACGGGATATCGGATATTATTTATATACATAAAAGTATCGATTGTATTTTGTAGATATGGTATAATAAACGTAGAATAAAGAATACTGCGTAGAATTCAACAGAATATTTTATCAAAAATATTCAATGGTAAATAGAAAGAAATAATTTAATAATCTATGAGAATTGACATAATTAAAATCTAAAGTTATTAAATATTAGTGAAATTTATCAAAGTATGCAACTATTTGCTTGTTAAATTACATACCAAGTATGTAATGTTAGTAAAAATATTAATTAAAAATCTTTAAAGTTGTCTAAATAAAACAGTAATTCTATCAGCAAACGCAATAAAGAGTAACATAAAAAAAAAAACATGTGTGCAGATCATAAGTGTTAGAAGTGAAACCTTCAAAAAACTAAGTTTCGAGAGAATGAGACGAATACAGAATATCAGGTGTAGGATAATTGTAGAGTTTATTTGTTATAATATTATTATTATAATTATTATTATTGTAATATTGTTACCACATTCAAAAATTATTTTACATTTTATTGACAAAGCATATTATACAGTAAGCAAGTTCTTAATTTGAGGAAATGAGACGAGTTGCTTATGGTAACTAAAATAGGAATGTATACTAACTAAACACCTCTCTGAGTGCATGAAATGCATGAACGCGTTCTGTCGAACTCTTTGAAACTTCCCTAATATTTTCTTTCTGCAGATTTTCACGACACTGTCCGGTATTAATTTTTGGTCGAGAGACACTTGAATCACAATTCACAATATCCAATTGCGAATCTTTTGAATAGAAAATAAAAAATAATGTTACAAAAATGATCCATTGAGATTATGATTGTCTAGTATAAGTAGAAAGGATTAAGAAAGAAATATATTGATTGGAAGCTATTTAATGACTTACGATAATCGTTTTCACTATTTCTAACAGTGAACGCGTTATTACCCGTATTAGAGATTATTATTCTGCACATCTAATAACGCCTTCTGGCGTGCACGAAATGCACGAACACATTCCGTTGATTAAATTTTATTATTTAGATTAAAAATTATTAAATATAAAATATTCCTAATTTGTAATTTCCTTATGTGCATATTTTGCAATTATTCTTGGGTGTATCATTTTCAACTAACATCGATGTTTCTATTAAAATTTTATTCGAGTTGCACTTTTCGTTTGTCATTTTGCTTTTTTTTTGGTATTCAAACAATTCTCTGTATTTTCGATAATAACTGTAAGAATTTGTGGGATGGTACTCTTATGGCGGGGCCTAAGAGTTAGGTTCCTTCCTTTGAATTATATTTGGATTTGGGCATCTTTAGGATGCACATCCCTTGTGGGTCTTCAAAAGCGGTTACCTCCTCGTGGTTAGACCCGGGCAATAGTATTTTACTTTTTATGTAATGTTTAACATATTTCATATGCTATACATTCCATTGCA